TTGAAAATATTATAATGCTATATTTAATGTCATTTTACTTCTGAACACCACTGATACAGGGTAAAGGAAAAATATTAACTAAAATTCTTCACAAACAATCTCCAGGTGAGGACATATTCAAGTGTTTCAAAGCTCAAAGGAAATCAAAAATCTGATTCATTCAAGTATTTCCAAGTAGGATTTTACTCCAATTATTCCAATGTTTTTCAGACACGAATTCTATAGAAAATATTATTATTTGCTTATCAGTTTGATAATTTGCTTATCAAAGAAATTCTTTCAAAATCAGGCAAACCTCTGAATGTTTTACTAAATTTAACCAACTTTAAAAAAAAATTAAACCTCGTTTAAATCAGTCCTTAGCTATCCAACTGCAAGTATTAACAAGGTGCGGGTCATGCCTACAGCAAAACTTTCAAAGTTTGGATTTCTCTCCTATTTTCCAGAAATCCAAAAAGAATTTATAAATATTCTACACATTCCATTGGGCACAGATTTCTGCTTGGGAAGTTGCAGTTGTAACTGGAGTTTGGCTCATTTCCAATCCTTTATTCATGCCTGCCCTCTCCCTTCCTTGCTCACTGGCTCCTACTCTGTTGGCTGTTTACAGTCCATGCCACTGCTGTGCGAACCTCAGGCAAGTCAAGGCCATGATTTATTTATTAATCTGTATGTTCATGCCCCGAGAACAGCTCCCATGTCACTAAATAGTGCTAAAATTCTGCTTCACAGCTAAAGATTGTCATATTTTAAAAGAAGACCCTAATTCCCCTTTATTTTTCTTATTTCCAGGTAAAGCACCCACTTACTGTGGGCCTGCTCCACTTTCATCGCCTGTGGTCTTCACAGATTGTGATAATGATGGGCTTGGTTTAGAGGGAAAACAGATTTATAACTTCTGTGTGAGCCCAAGAGTGGGGACACCCCAAGAGGGAGCAGTTACCAGTGTCCAGAGGCTCGGGGTAGTTACAAACTCAAACACTCTTAATTAATGTCTTTACACCACATCAGGTTAAAAAACAAAACAAAACAAAAATCTGCATCTTTGTGATGGAATTCTTTTGACAACAAAGGCTTAGACGTGATCTTTTATCTCCTTTGTAAAGAACTAGATCTAATCCAGGACTGGGGGCTTCTTACATTACCAGCCCCCTCTCTCTGTTGCAGCTGATCTCCAGTGACTTCCAGCACCAGCAGCAGCTGGTAAAGTGTTCTCTCTGTATCTCCCAGAACTGTTGCTTGCTTTCTGATTTTTCAGCCCTAGCTCTCATTCTGGCACAGGGTTTCTTTTCTGCTCATTGCACTGCAATGTTACTGTTTCCCTTGCTCTTTGCCTTAATGTATCCTGTGAGTGTTCTTGTCTGACAAAAGTCTAGAAATTTCAGCAACGAAGTGGACACTTGGGTATTAAATGGCCAAACAGAGTTAGTGAAATGCAAGATTTCTGGTACCACTGCAGTCTCTGAAGACACGGAATATCTCATCTTTCAACCAAAGGTTTGTTTTTCTATCCAGTTAGAGACCCTTTCATCAGAGTACAGAAGTTACATTCCTCCTGCGTTGCACTCAGAAGTCATAGCCATATATATCTACGACAGGAAAAAGCCTCAGTGAATGCATGTTCTTCCAAACTATCTGAAACTACTTCTTACAAAGAATCTAACCTTCAGGGAAAGAGAGTCTAACCCACAGAATTTCTTCTTGGAAACACAATTGTAGGGGCAGATTTGTTTATTTAGCCACTTTATGATATTATTTCTATCTGATTAAAAATCCAGTGCCCTGTTCTTAAAGATATTATTTGAATATCATTTTAGAATCCTAAGAAGAATTTTGAGGGGTTGACCAATCGACCCCACACTCTGTTTTTAGATGCCACACATTATTTTTTCAGTTAAGTACCACAATAAAAATGCAATCTTTTTAATTAAAGCTGCCATTCTTTTGGAATCTAGCACTCTACCTTCAACTGCCACCATCAGTATCTAAATTGCAATTGTTCGGTTCCTACTTTAGTCCTTTTTCTCCTCCTCCTCCTCTTCCTTCTGACACTAGAGGACACTTGATAATCTTAGATTAGAAAACACTTCTTTTCATTACAGCCAGTTCTTAGTACCTCATATGGTCCTCATATGGTCTTCATTCCAAACATATTAGATGAGGCTTCACAGTTCATAACCGATGATGGATACCTGTTCTAGTTGAACATACTAATCCTAAGTGGATTTAAGATTCTTACTCTCACACTTCCCATTTATCTGTCCTGTTACTTAGCAATTCAAGAAATGACCTAATCAAGTTAATGATCCATGAGGAAGGCAAATGTAAACTCATGTAATGGAGCACCTAGTTCTCTGTGCCTGTAAGAAGGCATTTTAATGAACTAAATGAGTCTGGATCCTTAAACTCTGAATAACTCTCATGAACTGTTCTCTGGATTTAAAGCAATATTTGATATACAACCAAAATCTTACAGGCTTGGGTTCAATGGCTGCTTTCAACCTGTAAAGTATTAAAAATGTTCTATCCAATCACTTGACAAGTACGCACGATAGAAGAGTTTTTCTGTAGCTATCAGAAGAAACATAAAAGAAATATATGAAAGGATGACATTGGGATAATAAATAGCTGGCTGCAAGGATGTTTTGAGTAGATTATACAGAAACTGACAGACTTTCCGTTTGTATTCCATGAATGATCCACTAAACAGATTCCTGTCTACATAGTGAGAAAAATTATTGAGCACGAGGAGGTTGGAAAGGCTTAACACAGATAAATTATAGCATTTTTTGATATTTTAAAGTGATTTCAGGGAAAATATAGTGCCTTATTGACCACACTGGAATTGATGGAATAACAGTAAACAAGGGATTGGAGATTCTTCCCAACTGTCTGGGAAACTGTCAGTCAAAGCAGGGACCGCCCACAGCTTTTCTGAAACTCCGGTGGTCCCCTCTTCTGGGAGGTAACCGTGCTGGGGGTATCAAAGCTAACCCAACACACTCCACCAAAACGTCTCCCCTTTGCCATGAGCCTCTGCTGGGGATGGTGTAGCGAAATACTACTCTTCCCTCTGCCACAAAGCAGGTCTTCGGCACGATACCAAATGCAGGAACGCGTAATTATGTCACCATGTGGGTAAAACTGGCCTGGGAAATGAAACCATTATGTAATAAAATGGAGATTACTGTGGTCCTTTTCAGGGTCCTGGGTCCAATTGTTCATAAAGCTCAGTCAGACTCAGGATCTGCATGGGTCAGTGAGCTGATAAATTAATTATAAGTCCAACAATACCCTTTCCAGCAAAACAAGCCCTTACTTATGCATAGTTTGCTATCTAAAGGTTTTATTCATTTCTCCTCAGCTTTGTGTCCTATATTATCTTTTTAGTATTACTATAGTAAATTACCCTAAAGCTGGTGGTCTGCATAATATAAATTTATCATCCTGCAGTTCTTGAGTCTCATTTGCTCTGATCAACCTGTGGTCAATTGCATTCTGATCTGGACACTGCGGGGAGCACCTCTGTCTTTTCTAGCCCGTGAATGCTGTCTGCATCCGTGGTCCATGGCTCAGCCTTTTTACACCTTTTTCTAAGGCAGCAACGTCTCTGTCCCTGAGCATCCTCCTGCAGTCATGGCTCCCTCTTAACTCTGGGCCTAACCACGCTGCGTTCTCTAACAACTCTTATGATTAAGGTGGGCCCACTGGAGCAGGGAGAGTTGGGGACAACTTCCTCATCTCAAGGCTTTGAATTTTAAACACATGTGCAGATCTTGTTTTGCTAAGACATGGAATGCACTTCTGGGAATCTAGGCGCACACAGTTTGGGTAGGTGGCAGGACTACTTTGGCCACAAGTAAAAAGGAGGGAAACATTCCGTTTCTCATGTTGTTCAATTTAGCAATACAAATGTCAGGACAAAGCAACCAAAGACATCCTCCACATTAGTCGTAATCTTGCTAATAAACATTATTTGGAAATCGTTTTTGATTTTAAATGACAGAACTTCCTGTGCCTTTTATCTCTTTCTCTGCACATAAGTACAGTGATCTTCACTTGATTCCCCAGCACAGAGCCAGAACACAGGGTTTGACACACAGAATGAAAAGGATTTCCATATCCATACCAGAGTCTTGAAGCCCAGGCTACTTACTGTTTCCTGACCATAGAGAATAAGCATGGCTTCTGTCTCTGTTTTACTAATTGCTTTGCTTCTCTAAACTGCTACAATATCTGCCAAGGCAGACTGAATTCCTTCCAGACAGTACACAGCCACGAACCAACAAGCGACCTGCACATGTCCCGGAATAAGGGCTTTCTCCCGCCCAGCAGGCAGCTTGCAAGAGAAACCTTGCATAGAGAGAAAGCTGAACAGCCATCCCAAATCTTTAAAGTGCTTAAGGTAATTGTTCATTCTGCAGTGATCTCACACTGTCTCTAACTTCATTGATATTGTTTTTCGGTAAAGATCACAATTGCATGACAGGCATAATATGGGCAGATGCTCACGTTCTCACACACGTTTCTGCCAAGATATTTTTACGTCTTTCTGCACATAAAACAAAATGAAGACATGTGTTATAGAGGCATGTTAGCAGCAACCGACCAGGAGAAGGAGTTTATTGTATGCTCATTTCCTGGACGAAGTATTAAAATAATTCTACCACAGAAAAATGAGCAGCATTTTCAAAATGAAAGATTTGCTTCTGAGGCACCTTGTGAAACGTCCCTAATTGCCAAAACTGGTGGAAATGGCAATGTGCACCATCATATCCAAAGGTCATCTCTACTCTTTCTAATTCAATATAGACTTCACGCCCCATCTACGGGTTAAGCATCAAAATACAGAAAGCTGCAACGCTTACAGCTCTGCCGATGTTCATCCATCTACTGGGCGCATTTCAAATATGGCACACAGGAAGTAAGCAAGTTCAATTTTGGAACTGAAACTTCAAGAAAAACACTGTAAAGTAAGAAATGTGAGATCACAGCCTTACCTGGGGAGATGAAGGCCGGTGTGCTGTACTCTCTTCTGCTAAGGTGAGCAGGGTTAACTGGGTGTCCTTCACTGAGGAATGTTTGGGAGGACGAGGCGGGGGGTGCAAGACAGAGCTTTCATATCTCCGCATCATGTAATACTGTTCTTCCGTAATCTCTTCTACCAGAGCCCTGACTGTGCCCGATTGCATGTCCCTGGACAAATAATTAACTAACTGAAAAGTCATATTCAAGCGGCCGATGGGAACCTCCCAGCATTCCTTGGGGTTGGCAAAGTCACTAATGAGGAGGTAAGAGTCTGAGATAGCTTCTTCCAAGTGCAGTCCTGGGGTTGCAGCCAAAATGTCCTCATCGATGGAAAGATCTCTTACCGACACTTTCACGTTGAAGGGCAGGCGGAACTGCTTAGAGAGCTCCGAAATCTGGTACTGCTTCTTGTCGTGAATCACCTCGACGAAACCTCCCTCCATGTCCAGAGGGAGCCGCGCTGCCTCGCAGGATGTTGTGAGAATTTTTTCACAGGCCAGAAAATTCACCCCTCTCTTTCTTCCCTCACAGAGGACTTCAGTCGTCTCTGAGAGACGCACTAGGTACTGGTCCCCAACAGACACAGAGGACAGCTCCTCGTGCGGGGAAGGGAAGGCTTTGGTGGCCACTACGTGGAGGGCCTCCTTCTCACTCTTCGCAATGTCCAAGTCATAGGCCGTGGGGAACTCTCGAGGGCGCCGCTTGAATCTGCCTTTGTAGCTACTGGGAATCAAGAAGTGTCGTTTAGGAAAATTGCTCCTAATTTCTGAGGCTAAGATCCGTGACGCCTGGTACTTCTGATGGATCACGATGGTTCTTCCAGGCTGCAAGATATCTCGGGGCAGCTGGTTTCCTTGAGGCGCTTCGATGACTTCCGCCACGATGGGAAACTCTTTTCCAGTCATTTCGAAGAGGTCTTCCGTAGATAACAGCTGAAGAAACCAGCCGGCATCGCAGGAGTCGGTTATGTCTTTGACCTCAACGTCTAAGCTGGGGAGAATGTGGACTATGTCCTTCCGAACTGAAAAGAAAGGAAGAAAGACTGACATTTCCTGCCTCAACATGTGCCCTGTGAGAGGCTCTCCTGGTGCTATAACATTTCTCTTTTTTGTTTTTATTCTAGGAGGACATGTTAACAGTATATAATCATTGCATTCACCACAGGGAGACGGTATATGTACATAACACATCTTAATTCTTTAAGGAAAAGCAAGTATTCCGGGGATCATAATATACTGTCCCTGAAATGTGAGTTTGAAGTACTTAAATTTTGAGAGGAAATAGATTATATTTTAAAAATAACCTTGACTCAGTGCAATTGTCATGTACACTTTATGTGTTCGTTACCTATTAGTCTGCTTTCAATCTGCAGATATGATCATTAACTTTAAGGTGTTATAAGTAAATGAATTTGATGATGGAAAATAAAAAGGGGGAGAGGGAGAGAGAAAAAGGAAGGAAGTTGAAATGTGCTATGTACATGTACCGATTCCCTACAGTGAATGTAGTAACCATTATGAACCGAAAAAAAAAAAAAACAACTAATAAAAAGATCTGTGAGTCCATTCTTATTAAAGAAACAGACATTAGCCAGTCCTTTGGCACTTTGTGAAATTTCTCCAAATCCTCCTTCTCGCCGCTACCTAAGGCCAGCCATTGTCTTGATGCTAGTGAACCATTCCTGTGAAAATACTCACCATTTATGACATCTATATGAATATAGAAATATTTGAATTGTACATATAAATGTGATGGGTGGCATCATTATAAGTCATGGTCTTGAGGTGCTGACTTTACATGTAAAATTACTAAAGAAGTATTGGTATTCTAGGCAAGGTCTTCATGCAGAAAGCCCAATGTATATACTGCTTTTAGTTATCCCGTGAGGTAAAACAACATTACAAAGTCAACAGCTGTAAGGTGCTTAAGATTAATATATGGAAATGGCTATCAAAATGCAGTCTTTTCCCAATGTCAAAGTTATTTCTTTTCCCACTGGTGTTGGGTTATTTCCAGATGAAGAAAGAGTGGTGACAGAGAGGTCACAGCCACTCAGAACCCTCGGCCGAGTGTCCCCAAGGAAGCGAGTCATTACAAGATCATTCTGAAATCATTAGCTCTTTACCTGCCACCCACCTGGTATCATTATAAATGGTCTTAAATTTAAAATAAGGCTGTGTTAATATTAGCAGTGCTATTCACAATAGCTTATATGTTTTTGATAACCTTTTAATATATATTTTATAGCATTTTCATGATCCATTATTGTTTCTTAATATCTGTAGTCACCGTCAATATTCCTTCTTCTTTCTAAGTTTTTGAAAAGGAACAATTTGGAAAATTTAGAAGATCCAATTCATTGATCTAAACATTACTTCCGTTAACAGTTTTTGTAGCACTAACTCTTCATGCAACATTGAAACCCTTGACTCTATAAATTATGTCACATTGTATAGTCTGTGCAATGAAGTTGTAAAGACACAGTATGAAAAATTATTACCTTAATTTTTTAGAGCAAAAACTGAAATCAATGGTTGCCTACAGACTGAAAAATTATATTCTTTACTTTTCTTATAAAAAATTGGTCTGAAAAAACATTTTTTACTTAAAGCATTTGATTTTATAAAGTTTAGCACACCCTAAGTTTTGGTACTGTTATCATAGATTTTCCTGAAGACCACGGCAATTTTAGAAACCACAATCTTATTATTTTCATCAAAATGAACTACATTTAATAACTCCAGAGCCAGCTTGAGATAGGCATGCTAGCTTCATGCCACCCTTCAAGTTGAGGGAAGAACAAGAGATTGGTTCAACAGATGCCATTAAGAATTTCTGGGCTCTCTACATTAGCCTATCAGATCATATGGGCCCTAATGCAAGTTAGATGCCAATCTGCATTTGTGCACAGTGGATGCTGTTCGCCAGGAACAGCATTAGTGTCTTTGGAGAACTCTCCTGCTGCCAGAGAAAGGCTCCAGGCCAGGCTATCTAAACTTAGTGAATTTTCTATATCTACTTACTGACCTACCTTCACTATGTCTGCTCTTAACTCCACTGAACTAACACCAGTCTGTTGCATCGCACAGTTCAGACCAATAGCATCTGACATGAAAGATTAGACTCCTTCCAGTTGAATGTATTTTCCTCATACTTTGTGATTCTTCTCGACTCTTATTGCTGTTTTTTTCTCTCTCTCTACACACCACCCACTACTCACACCTGTATCTGTCATATGCCTTGGTTTTCTTGGTACACACTCATGCCTGGAGTAATGTGTTACGTGTGTACGTTATATGGTTCTGTCTCCCCAAAGTGTAGTCTAGCAAAGTAATTCTCTTGAATTCCAGATATCTATTTAATATTTACTTGGTCTTCTAGTAGATTCTCAAAATCAATATGCCCAAATTGAAATCTGATCTTGTCAAAACTAAACTATCCTACATCTTAGTTGTTGGGAGCTCCTTTTTCCTTCTTCAGTCTGTAAATCTCAGAGATAGCCTTAATTTCTCCCTTTTTCTAACACTTGTGGGCCTTTCCATCAGAATACCCTAGTCTTCCCACATTATTTATTTTTGTTTGCTTGCTTATTTGTTTGTTTTGAGACAGGGTCTCGCCGTGTAGCCCAGGTTGGCCTCAAACTCGCAGCGATCCTCCTGCCTCAGCGTCCCGAGTGCCAGGATTACAGGTGTGCACCACTCCTGGCCCACATTATTTGTTACCTGTTTTACTGCAGCAGCTTCCTAAGCAGTGTCCATTCACTGAAATCTCAGTGGAATGCCGAGAGATTGCCTTTCAGGGCTGAGTCAATGTGTCTGCCATCTGTTTGTGTACCCACTGCGTCGATTCTGTTCATGCGGAATAAAAGCTAAAGATCCTACCCAGTCCTTGGTGCTATGCGGGTCTCATGTGCTACTGCATGACTTCACTCTGACTCGCCGCTCTTCCCTCGCTGGCGGTCCTTTCTGCAGGCCTCCTCTCTCCTCTTCCTTTCCCTGCTCCATCCTCAGTTACATATGTTCAGGGCCAACACCTGTTCCTCTTCAAATCTGCTTGGATTCAATCTTGTGAACGAGCCCTACTCTGTAGGTTCTATTTAAAATTGCAAACACCCTTGTTCTTTGTCTTTCTCTATTTCCTATCCCACCCTTCACTTGCAATTGTTTTCTGTGACTTGCTTATTTCTTCTGACCATTGTCCATCATTTGTCTCTCAAATTGAACCATTGTCTTTCAAGCAGCAGAGGTCTCTCACTGCCCATGAATGTGTTGGTGTCTATAATACTAAGCTGCTGTAGGTATTCAGGGCATCAGCTGAAGGAATGAGAACGGACTGTCACCAGAGGGTACTTTAGTAAGCACTGAAAAGAATAATTCTGTAAACGAGTATAGTCCCTTGTAAATTTCACTGGGGAAAAAAGTTGTCCATTGTTAAATCTCCTGCTATACATAATAACAGATGCTGTATATCTCATTTAAATTATCTCTTAAGGTTTTAATTTATCTTACTCGGTGACCGATTCCGTAAAATAAATACTTGCACTGTTTAGTTTCTACAAACCAACAGATATATTAGGGTATCAAATATGGGCAAAACAACGTCTTTTTCAATCAAGATTTTACTCTTTAGTTGAAAATGACAAGGAAACACAATGATATGCAGGTGTAAAGAAAAATGCAATGTAGGGAAATCATACATGCAGTGAAAATCACCAACTGTTCTTAGATACCTCGGAGAATGAGGGGCACAGGACAGAGCACTGTCCGCCAAGCCAGATAGTAGGTGACACTGGAAGTCACAGCTTCCTGAGAGTGGAAACTACCACTGGGGCTCGGCAACTGGTAAGAGCATTTAAGGAGTGACTGGTTATTTGCTGGAATTAAGGATGGAATGGCTTGGGAGACAAACTCCTGAAAAGGACCTCCCCACGTTCCTCAGTCTCACTTCCAAGAGCCTCACAAGTTCTCAGGATGAGGACTGGAGAACAAAAATCCCCTGGTGCTTTTGGCTGGGTCAGGGGGAAATGACCATTGTACAATATACCCACAATGCTATGGTTTCCTTTCTTAAAAAGTCCTTTCTTCAAGGGAAACGATTTCACCGCGGCCAAACCCATTTGATGGGTTTTATCACAGCCTAACCTTCTAGGTGGGGAGAAGGAACAGCCTTCTCTGCAATTCCAGACGGGGAGGGGAAAACCCAACCCCAGCCACAGCTGCCATTCTGATTCCCTGCAGGAGAGGGAAAAGCTGAGCTGCCTTTGTGAAGATCCACAGGCACCCTGGAAGCCTGAAACTTAGACAGATTACAGAGGCTCCCATCCCAGAATGCTCACCAACGCAACTCAGTTCCTGTACTGTGACGGGAGATCCCAGCTGAAAGAATGACATTTAAAGCCTTACTTAATACAGAATCTCAAGGGAAATGCCACAGATGAGACAAAAATAATGGCACCACAGGGAATTTTATTCCCTGACACCTGCAACTACAGCTAACAGTAAAAACAGTCCACCTCCAAGCCAGACAAGCAGAAAACCTCACACTAGAGGACTATTTACCTCATCTCTTTCACCTTCCGAAATGAAACTACAAAATTTTGAAGTATGTTAAAAGGCAAATTACAAGACAAAAGAAAATTTCCAATTATTTAAAAGATAAAAGGTAATCTAGAGTAAAAAAGGAATGAGCCAAGTTTACAGTTGACAGAGATTTTGCAATTACCAGACATGAAATTTAACATGTAATAAATATATTTAGGGCTATAATGGGAAACCAATAAAGAAAAGATGGATACTATCAGCAAAGGAATAGAAAGTCTAGAAAATTAAAGTATAGAAATTAACAGGAATAGAAATGAAGAATAAGCCAACCACGGTGGTACACCCCTGTTCTTCTAGCAGGATCCCAAGTTCAAGGCCAGCTTGGGCAATTTAGCAAGACCTTGTCTCAAAAATTTAAAAAAGAAGTAAATAAAACATGGCTGGGGATGAAGCTTAGTGGTAGAGCACCTGCCTGCCACAG